GCTCTCAGCATGGACTAGCTCTCTTCTTCCTTCGGCATAGCCTGGCCTATAATTTGACCATAACTGAAAATCCACAGGCAGCCTCCTTTTTAGGCCAAGACTCCACTTGGCAGCAACTTGTATAGAAAAAGTAGGTTCCATCTTCAGATTACCCAGGCCATCACAGTGCAAGGCAACTCCATGATGGTGCCCGGACATCCAGAGCACTAGAATTACAGCCGTCCCGAAGCATGGCACCCTCTTTTCTCTGACACAGAAGTGGAATACGATGTAATATTCACAAGGTAGGAGAGGGGCCAAACGTTTAGGAAATGCATCAAGTCATTTGTTGAAAGGGAAGAAGGAAAGGTTAACCACATGAGGAGTGGGGTGAGAAAGTATGCGTAAAGAGCACCCAGGATCTTTGGTCTACACCAAAATCACTACTAACAGCATTGTATATCTAACAAATCATCTGAGACCATGCCATAACACTGTTGTGAGTGTTTACATGCAACACGCACACATACAAACACACACACACACACACACACTCCTTCTAGGGCAGGGCTGAAACACTGTTCCAATTCAAAGCAATTTCATCAAGAACAACTAATGGTTCTCCTCCCTTTGGCTTCATTTCTTTGCCTTTTTCAAAACAGGATTTCCCACCATTTGTACAGGCCATTTCTAGGTTCTGGGACCCTATCTAAAATCAACCAATGAGTTGATCATCAAAAGGCAAGCCCAGAGCACCTCTTTGGGTGGCAGCAACTGTTCACTGGTCCCAAAGAAAATGAGGTCACTCCCTGGCATCTACCTAGAGTCACCATTGTGTCATCAGAATAGATCCCAAAGCAGATGGTATGAGCAGAGCCCCCCCCAAAGACCAATTAAGACAAGACACAAAGAAACAGTCAAGGGATTTCCATGATAAGATCCTTAAAAATTATCTTTAATTGATGCCAAATATGAACAGATCATGAGATGACAGAACCAAGTAAAATTGCATAGATGAAAACTATGCGCATTGTTAGGTTCTCCATTCGTAACATTCCCTATCCTCGACCCGACATGGTAAAACGGTTAGGGCAAGGCAAGTGCAGGGGAGATGAGATGAGACATGTCCATAACTCAAGGAGGCAGCAACTGGCAAAGCCAAAGAACAAAACAGAACAGCATCAGCTTCAATGGTTTGTCGTCCTGAGGGTGCACTTCAAATGAATACTTCTCGACTTTAGTTTCCAGCCTCAGGAATACTTTATCTTTAATCTTAGAGGTATGTCACAGAGTCCACGTCACTTATGGCTGCTGCGTCAACAGTACCTAAACCGTGCACTGAAGAAGAAAGAGACTCCTGCAAGTTTGGGAAAGGGAAGACAGCTTGTGACCTAGCATATTCTGCAAGCTCTTTTCTTGTTTTATTTTCTTTCGTCATTCTATTTTTTTCTCCTCTTCTGTGATTTAGGAACAAAACTTTTCTAGGTTCTTTGAAGTTCTACATCACGAATTCCCTGTGGACGCCTAAATAAAAACCACTGTGACCCGGGTTAACTTCCTCAAAGCTGTCCTAGGGGCAGCCGAGGCTAACCTTCTGCTAGCACATTGGCATTCCCATGAATCAATGAGCAAAGAGGCCATTTGCTTTCAAGGCTTTGAACCTTGTGTCTACGCCCTGAATGAGTTTGCACAGTGGCCCATGGTAATGGGCTAGTTTTGGTTAACGATTCACTTCCTGCTTGCTTCTTTACAAACGTGGTAAATAAAGTACATTCCTTGAAGATTTACCTGAGTCATTCTGGACACGTTTGCATATACCCTGAAGTCCCGTGCTACAAATGTAAATACAAATGTATCACACCATAGGTGGGAGTCTATCCTGAGATAGTTCAACCTAGCTTGTCCCCGCTCCTCCAATACTAGCTTGTTTGTCTTCTCAAAATGAATATAAATATCAAAAGGCCTCACTCTTGCTTGGAAAAGGCTGGAAGATAACGTGGTTGTTTGGCAGTTTATAGTCTTTCTAACAATTTTATGCTATGGATGGTTACCACCCACCAATTCTCACCACTCCCAGGATAAGTCATTCCTGGAAGAAAACGGGGAATTACTGTCGGCTAACGTTCCTTTTCTACTTTCTGTTCAATCCAGTCTACCAAACAAGGAACAAAACTTTCAAGTTGCTTAAAAAAAAATGTTCTGAGGCCTCCTATATTGAGCATGAGGTTGAAAACTAATTTTTTACTGATTCTTTTAGACACTAATTTGAAAAATTTGTCACTACACCTAACATGAAGAAAATCCATTCTGGGTTGAATTTTCCCAGCCACCACTCAGACACTTTTTTTCTGTTCTACTCTCAAGAGGATCAAGGCTGTGGTAGCCTCTCTGCTTTGTTTCCACCACAGTGGGATCTAAACCCACCGCACAGTTCCACTTTAGAGAAACGACTGTTCACTGACTACAATATGGGAGCAATATCTGACCTGGCGCTCTGGACTAATCCACAAGCACTGCCAGTGAACAGAGGTCACTGGGCTTCGGAGTTCAAGTCTCGGACGGGAGTGAGGTGAGGGGTGTGCACACAGATGTGCACAGATGGAGAGAGGGGAGAGAAAAGCCAAACCCAAACAAACCTTTTCCTGGCTACAGTCGGTCTTCTAGAAATCTGAGGATAGAGGAAATGAATATCTTTGGTCTCTCTGATTCAAATCACTTGAAGTGAGTTAAGCACTTCAGAGATTCTGGGATGGCTAATAGCCACAGGATGACCTGACCCTTCCAAGGGCACCCTATTGAACTAGGGCTCTGCACATTGGAAGTGCTGGGTTATGGCTATCAGTACATCATAAGTCTTCTCCTTCCAGAGAAAACGGGTATAAGCATCAGGGCATGAGCTATCAAGGCTCGGTACCTAAGAAGGGGTGAAAGGTCAGGAAGTCTGGGGAAGGGAGTATGAAGTGGACCAAATGAGAGTCACTCCTTAGTAGGCAGTTTAGTAAAGTGCACCTTCAGGTCTACAAAGACATTTCAGCACGTTTCAGTGTAGGGGTAAGAGCTAGGTCAAAGGTCGCATGCCTATGCTACACAGACAATCCCTGTACTCCTTGTCATCCAGTTCACTGCAATGGGCTACAGATGGATAACCAGCATCCATATCCCCCATCCACTCCAACTTCATGACAACAGCTCATCCCCAAGCCCAGGCGGACCACTTCTCCATATGCAGCGCTTGTCCTTGTAACATATACAGAAGAGTCAACTTGTCCAGGACACAGCCACAGAGGCAGACCAAGTGTCCAGAGACTGATCAGTCTCGGCTTCATTGTCTCATCCTCTAACCCATCCATCCCATAGTACTGAGTGGATTATTGCTATTGGCAGAGTTCTGTTGTGTCCTAGATCTCAGAGTCAAAATAAAACTACAAGATATCCCTGGAGACTAGAGGGGGGAGTTGGCATTTTTTGCCCCCAACTGGAGACTTGCAAACGTGTAGAAGACTGATGATCTAAGGTTCAAGGAATGAGCCACACATGGGAGGGGTTGATACCCTGTAGCCAGAGGTTGGGCAGTCCTTGGCCCCTCATCTTCCAGGATATGTGTTGTGTTCTCCTTGAATACCCACAAAAGTTCCACAGGGAAAGAAAATGTCCTTCTTTCCTCAGTTGAGCTAGACAGCCTGGATGTCATCATAGTTTCTCCGTTGATGGCCTCACTTCTTGTCTGAAGACTGGGTGGGGGAAAGGGATGGAAGTACCAGGGAAGATTCCAGAAGAAGCCAGGCAAGGATGTAAGACAGACAGGAGCAGGCAGCCACATGCTAAAAGCAGTATGAAGGTTCCCCACTCCAGCGTCCTTAAAAAGGCAATGAATGCCCCTCCATTGGTGAATAGCTGCTGAACTCCAGAGCCTGTGTGATATGGCAATCTTTCAGCAGGACACAGAGTCCCCATCATTCTCTGGATTCAATGGCTGGGGCAGCAGCAGTCAGATGTCCAGTCAGTGAAGTGACTTTCCCATGGGACAATCATAGGCGCATCATAGGCAGTATCTATAGGAGGTTGGCCAAGAAGGCTGTCCTATGAGAGGTCAATGTGAGCCAAGTGTTCCCATAATTCGCAGTGATACCCCCAAAGACCAGATTCTCAGAGATCTGCAAAGAGCTGTAGCTGTCAGGGAGAGGGTGGGGAGAAGGAACCACTGAACCCGAGGAAGCTCTGTCTGTCCGGAGTGGCCTTCCACATTCCCCAAAACATTTCTCTTGACTTCCGACGGAGAAGAAAACAAAACAGAACAGAACAGATTTACGGTTCACTTCCAGTTCAAAGCTGGGTCTCAGTTCATATCCGGAGTCAGGCTGCCTAAGAGACCAAGTCCGGTAGATGGCCAGAGAGGCAGCACCCGCTTCCTCTTTCTCTTCTTTGGGGCTCTGAGGGTGGTGTGGCCTCCTCACAGTGGTGAAGTGAGAAAGTGAGGATGGAAAAACAAACAAAACCAAAAAAGCGAAAGGTCTGTGCCCCAACCCTTCCTCCCCTTTGCTAAATAACTTCCCAGCTGAGTTATGGAGGCACTTTCTGCAGTTCACTGTGGGTACAGATAAAGGCACTAAGCAACTAGTAAATCAATTGGCTGAGTTTCTTCAGGGAGCCTCAAGGGGAGGGCCGAAGTCTCTATAGACTTCAAATCATGACAGCAAAAAAAGAAATCACTTCTGCTCTGGGTGCATGAAGAGATAAACATTACCACTTACATCCTAGGAATGCACCAGAAACCATGCAAAATTGCACCTTTTTTGTTTGTTTATTTTGCTTGTATGTATGTTCAGCTAGAAAGAATGCTTGTCTTAGGTGTATTAAATACCTTGATGACTTATTTCGTTTTCCACAGTTGTCCCTTAAAGGATGGGCGTATTGGTCCTCTCTCTGCCTAGACCTGTGCAGAAGCTTCACATTTCCCTGAGCAAAGGCAGGAAAATTGACGGGAGTGTTCCCCCACCCCCAACCCCACCCCCATTGTTTCTTTTTGGGCCCTCTCATCCCACAGACTTGTGAGTTTTAGTATTGTCTAATTTTTATTACTGAAACCATGCATTAATGAAGTCAAGGTACATCTTAATCAAATAGGCCATAATGCTGACTAAGAGAACATGCTTAGAGCTCCAAAAAAGGGATTGTTCCCATCTGACTAACATGTGTACTTAAATACAGTACTTTAGTTGCTAAGAAAAGAGTTAGTAAATGAAGGAGTGCACTTTTGGTGAATGCAAATGAAAAGGGGGCCTATAGTCAGAAGAGTCGGTTTCAACGTAAGCTTATCCCTAGTGTCTGGGTTAACTGTCTCGGCATGCTATTATAAAAGAAGTGTTATCAGATTCAAACATGCTTACCATTTAACTCTTGTGCTCTTGCAATAAGGAGGGTACAGTGGGAAGGTTTTACATCCACTTCTGAAGGTCAGGGGTGAGGGTGCAGGATTAGTGAGAAAAGACCTCTATTTGGATCATCTGCAGTCGAGAGAACTTAGCAGCTCTACAGATGAATCAACTCATTTAATCAAGTTACCCTTTTCTTAGAGAATAGACTAGGAGAATGGGGCAGATGGAAAATCCCAACGGACTGGGACCAGTAACAGATGTATACGTTGCTTTGAGAACCAGCCTTAATTGGTCCGGGTTTTGGTTGCCTTGTGTGCAATTCAGTTGATTAAAATAAAAGCATTTGTTCACTGGCCACTGAGGCTGTTACATGTTCCGCGGGGTACACTATCTGAAATGTGGTGTGCACTTTGCAAAGATTTTAGAGTGGAGTCCCATGCAAATTGGAATTTTATATTCCTAAGTGCTCAACTGATTTTAAGGTTTCCGAAAAAAAAAAACCTTATGCCAAAAGACTGGAAATATTTCAGTACAGGGAAAGCGTGAGTCTTATTCCTTACAGACTCCTTAATGGACGGCACTGAAGCCAGTTTTATAAAATACTTTCTTTTCTCATTTTTAGTAAAATGAAAATAGTTTTATTTTCTTAATGGGTCTTGAAAGCTTCAGGTTTGCCACTCCCCAGACTCACAATGCAACAATGCATTGACAGGTAAAGCATCCAAAGACTAATGGTTTGTAAGGTATCTACAGTGTGGGGCAAGAGTCACCGGGGCTTTTGTTTGGGGCTTTTGCTTGCTTGCCTGTTGCTTTTTAAACATCGGTCAGGAGCTTGCTCTTATTAACGCAGTTTTGATCAGCTGTGGTGCAGTTACCAGTTCTGATATTAGCCTGTCTGTAATGGGCTATGCTATTGTTCAGATCGTCTTCAATCTCCATGTACTCAGATTTGCTGATAGTAGAGGAGCTGCGGCGGCTGAGGTCACTGTCAGAGGCTAAGTTAGGAGAGCTAACGTGGAGCAACTGAGCCTGCTCTTCCCCCTCAGTTTCTCGGTGGTAGAAATAGTTGAAATTGGACACAATGACAGGTACGGGCAGGGCAATTGTCAGCACACCAGCGATGGCACACAAGGAGCCCACGATCTTGCCTCCAATTGTCACAGGGTACATGTCACCGTATCCCACAGTGGTCATGGACACCACCGCCCACCAGAAAGCATCGGGGATACTGGAGAAGTGCGACTCAGCTTCTTCCGCCTCGGCAAAGTACACTGCGCTAGAAAACAATATGACCCCAATGAAGAGGAAAAAGATGAGCAGCCCTAACTCCCTCATGCTAGCTTTGAGGGTCTGGCCGAGGATCTGGAGGCCCTTAGAGTGGCGAGAGAGTTTGAAGATTCTGAACACCCTTACCAAGCGGATGACCCTGAGGATGGCCAGGGAAGTGGCCTGCTCGCCCTTCTGATTTCCCTCCTGCTCAGCTATCTCTGTGCCCAGGGTAATGAAATAAGGAATGATGGCCACGATGTCGATGAAGTTCATGATGTTCTTAAAGAAGTCTGTCTTGCTGGGGCAGGCGAAGAAGCGCACCACCAGCTCGAAAGAGAACCAGATGATACACAAGGTTTCCACAATGAAGAAGGGGTCTGTGAAGATGTTGGAAGTATAGATGACTGTGGTGTTGTCGATGCGGTGGATGGTGCCCGTGAAGTCCTTGTCATCCTTCAGCTCAGGGAGAGTCTCCAGGCAAAAGATGACTATGGAGATGAGGATGACCATAACAGATACAATGGCGATAACCCTGGCAGGTCCTGAGCTCTCCGGATACTCAAAGAGCAGCCACACCTGGCGCTGGTACTCCTTCTCAGGTAGGGGGCGCTCCTCTTCCTTGATGAAGCCCTCATCTTCCCGGAACTTCTCCATGGCCTCCTCGCCCAACTCGTAAAATTTGATCTCCTCAGAGAACATGTCCAGGGGCACATTGACCGGCCTGCGCAGGCGGCCCCCTGACTGGTAGTAATAAAGGATGGCATCAAAGCTGGGCCGGTTGCGGTCGAAGAAGTACTCGTTCCTTAGGGGGTCGAAGTAGCGCATGCGTTTCTTTGGGTTGCCCAGCAGCGTGTTGGGGAACTGTGCCAGGGTCTTGAGCTGCGTCTCGAAGCGTAGCCCGGAGATGTTAATCACCACGCGTTCGCAGCATTCGTGGTCATCGTGGTCGGCCTGCCGTGGGTAGCTCCCATCCTGGGGGTGACCCGGAGCGGCCGAAGCCTCGTCCGCATTCTCCCCCGACATCACCGTCATGATGGAAGCAGGGTGCAGGGGTGGGAGGCCAGGAGAGAGCCCGGGGTGTGAAGGAGCGAGGGAAGAGGGGTGGGGGGGACCCAGGCGCCCCCCCCACCGGAGAGTGAGTCTCCCCCACGCTCACGGGGAGGGGCTTCAGAGCCAGGAGGTTCAGAGGTCTGCAACTTTGCTAGTTACCACCTCCCCCTCCTCCACTCTGCCTTTTACCCAATTTGGAAAGCCTGAGAGTCCCCAGTGCAGCTTTATTGAGAGGTTTGGGTTTTGGGGTGTGCACTGTTTTTCTGTGTTGGTGAGTGGGTTTTTCTTCCTGCTCTGATTGCCTTAGCGCACACCTGCTATCGCTCTGGGGCTCGCCGCAGCTCCCCTCCCCTCCTGCATCCCTCCTAGGACCCGGTGCAGTGCCAGCTCAGCAGATCCCCGCCTGTCACCCCCTTTGCTGCTCCTTGGCTCTCCCCCCTCCTACCCCTCTTCGCCTGCCGCCTTCTAAGCTCTCACGGGGCAATCGATGGACGCTGCAGAGAAATAAAAAGTGATACGAGGGTAGAAGATCAGAAGCATTCCGATGGGACGAACCTATAGACACCGAAGAGCACAGACTACCAGCTTTTGTAGAACACACCGGACTTATACTGGGTTAACACATACGCACAAACAGACACACAACAGACACCCAGAAATCCAAGTTTGGAAATCTTCCATCCCACTTTTCCCCCAATGCCCAACAGCCGATCTGTTTACAACTTCGTTAAACTGGAGATCGGAAAAGCGCTTAGAAATGCTGGAGGAGCTCCGGGCCTTGGGCAGCAACCCCTCACCCTCAACCTCCCCCACCCTGTCACCGTAACCTCGGATTCTGCAGCCCCGAACTGGGAAGCTCCCTACCTGGCCGGCCGGCTTGGCGCAGGGGCGGTGCTGAGTCGGCGGAGAGTCGGAATGCGGCAGGTCTTCACTGCAGCAGCCTGAGCGAGCCACGGCCACCTCCACAGCAGCATCCGAGAGGCACCGGGCACCTCGCGGTCGGTCTGCGTCCTTCCTCTCTCAGGGGTCCGATCGTTTTATCGAGCAGCTACGGGGGAAATGTCCGTTCCCTACCCCCATTCTCACACGGTGCAGGCAACCTGGAGGCTCTGATCTCTCTCCGGTGCAGGGAGTTCCGGAAGATGCGGGGTGAAAAAGCAAAAAGGCCACCCTCTCCCGAGTCACCCAAGCAAATGGCGATAAGCAGCCCCCTCCGAACACTATGGGAGCCCTTGATTCGATCCCGAGGGAGGCGGGCGGCCCAAAACCTGGCTCTACATGGCTCTAGGGTCTCCGCACCACCGCACGAACCTCGCTCCACGGCGTGCCCGGAGCCTTCAGCAGCTCGGAGTGGGGCAGAAAGCGTGCGGCCGCAGGTCCGCACGGTCCATTTCTGGGCGCTGCAAGATCAGCAGAAACCTGAGAAAGCGCCTGGAATGCGGAGCAGCGATTGGCCCACCCGGGCGTGGGTTGGGGAGGGCGGGGGAGGGCAGGAGCGAGGAGGTAGATGGAAAATATGAGGGGGTGGTTTGGCAGAGGGGGGTTGTCATTCAGTTCCCATCCTTGCCAGCACAGCTTTTCTTCTTTTCCCCTCCTCTCCTCCTCAAAAAGCCCACCACCAACTCCTCTTCCCCGGTGGCCCGCAGCCCCGCCCACGCACGGCCCTTAGCTGCGCGCGCGACCTTCCCCGGGAATTTCACATTGGAGATGGTCAGGTCCGACGCAATGCAGGCGGTGATGTCCCTGGCAGAACTCCTTGGACCGGTCTGCTTTGGGTGCAGTCACACAAGCAATCCTCCGGCATCCCACTCCTCGTCGCCACTCCGCCCCTCCTCCAGGGGCCTCGTTGTCCAGCCCACCCTACTTACCCCCTACCCCAACCTCCAGGTCAGCCGCACTCTGAAGGGTGCAGAGTTTGGTTAGAGCCCTGCAGTTGAGGATCCCCGGGATTCATCCACGTAGTGTTACTGCGAGAAGGTGGTACTAAGTGTCTGTTCATCTTGAATCTACCAGAGGGAGCTGAAGTTTTCTTACAGTCAAAATATTCTGAAATGCAGAGAATATTATGGGGGGCGGTGGGCGAAGATGTCGTGGGTTTGTGGATTGTCTGCCAACTTGGTGCTAATTGGAACAAACCTGAGAAGAAGCAAGTCGCCCATTTGTCTCCCACCCTCGGTTCTGCCTCCCGCACGCTCCATCCACCCACTCAGTGACTCTCTGCCCCTTCAGGACCACTTTCTAGGCTCTGGACATATTCGCGCAAGGGTCCCTACAGAAGCTCAGGGCAGTCTGAACTGAGGACCTGCGCGGCGTCCCCAGAGGCGTTGTGCCTGGGAGATTGGGAGGAGGCAGCCAGCAACTCTGGCCCTTCCAGCTGCCTCTGAGCAGCCCGCAAGAACCCAGAATCGCCGCTGATTGGTTCCTCGCCCGGCCTTCGCACCGCCCCTTCGCACCACCGCGGCTCGCGTCGCCTCCCGCCCACTCCACCCACCACTTTAATCAAAGCCAATGATCGCATCCTCCTGGCTCTATTGTGGCTAGTGAAAGGCAGGGGACTTTACAAGGATCCCGGGGATACAGCTAGTTAAATCCCTCCTCCAGATTCAGAGCCCGGCTTTCCTTTCAGAAAAATAAGTGTTCTCTCCTCTCCTCCAGATTCCGACCTTGGCTTTTCTTCGATGAACAGCAAGTTCTATCGCACACTACTCCTTCCCACCTTAAACTCCACCCAGTGCACGCTGGTTCCTCCATCCCAGAAACTCCATGCCCTCCCTTCTTCTGCACCGAAGCTCTATTGGTGAAAGAAAAAAAAAAAAAAAAGTAGTAAATGCGAGGCTCTACCATGAAATGCCAAGTACTGTGGTTTGGTGGCGACTGGAGCCAGAATCTCACTGTGAGCCTGCTGCGTGTAACAAGCTTTGCCTGGTAATGTTCTAGCAGAGCACGTCCGGCTGTCTTCCCCGTTCTTCAAGAGTTTCACTGCGGTGCTCTCCCACTTCTTCTTCCTGCTCCTGAATCCTAGTTTCGTGCGCATGCCCTGGTCCTGACACATCCCTTATTGGAAAAGTGTCTCAGACGACATAGGATCCCAATTCATAAATTCAGAGCTGTATATGATACCTGGGTCCTCCACATGCCTAGTCGATGTTATTAAAGTGGGACTTGAACCTCCATTTTTCACATGAATCCTCAGCTGCTAGGGATCTGAAGGCACTCAAGCATTCAACAGAAGTTTACTCTGTCCCAGCTATGAGCCAGGCACGTCCTAGTACTGGGTGGCCAGACAAGACCCACAGGTCCCAGAGGACAGAGTGCTTACATTCAACGGGACGCACAGAGAATGAATCAATAAACCTAGAAAGTAGGTCCAGTACTAGTATGGGTTTACAGACAAACAGGCCCCTTTCTGCAGAGGGATCAATAGAAACCCAAAATAGGGACCAATGGATAAAAGAGCAGGCTGATAGATGTATGAACAAATTAAAAAAAAGGCAGGAAAGACCTTAGGAAACAAAGGTCATCACGGGCAGAAAGAAATTACCGAGGAAGAAGGCTGGCGGGTGGATCATTCAGGGGTCTTTGCGTGCCAGGAGGGGGTGATCATTTTATTTGGGTTGTAATGTGAAGATGCTGAAAAACGTGCACCAGTGTGACAATACAGAACGGTTGTGTTGGGGAGGATGTTGCCCATTTGTTTGCAATTGTTATTGTTCGAAATAGTACTACACTGAAGCTCAGGCTGGCTGTAAAATCATAGCGACCCTCCTGCCTCAACCACACTAGTTTGGGGATTACAGTCATGAGGCATCACACTCTGCATTGTTTTGTTTAACTTTTTAAAATATTTTATTTTTCATTTATGTTCATTTAGTTGGGGGTCGCACGTATGAGGTCAGAGGACAATTTAGAATCGGTTTTCTCCATCTACTATGAGGATCTCAAGAATCAAGGACAGGTCGTCAGGTTTGGTGGCAAGCACCTTTACCCACTGAGCCATCTCATCAGCCCTGCTTTGGAGTTTTAAAAAATTACAAGAATTATTGAAAACAGGACAGTTGCATGGTAGGGGTCGCAAGCAGTGCTATCTTAGACCAGAGAGCATGCTGGGAAGATCTCGGAGTTGCCTTATGTTTTCAGAGGAAGTGGAGTGGGGATAAGGGGAGAGAAGGGGTTCACCAATGTCACCTAGGCCTGTGGCCTCAATAACTGGACAGGTGCTAATACCATGTACTAGGATAGAGTCTGAGTTCATTTCTCCTCCATCCGAATGGGAAGCCTGGAACTTTCTACGTGCCCCTCTTATTACCTGGCATGTTCTCCTCATCTAACTATCTCCACTGTAGACACAAATGGAAGAACCAGCTCTGCATGCAGCCACAGTTTGCTCGTAAGGGTTGCCACACTGCAGTGAGTGGTACCGGCTTCCCCAAAACTACAAAAAGGACCGCATTGATGGAGGAGGGTCATGGTCATTTGTCTGTTGCTTTCATTGGTTAACTAATAAAGAAAACTGCTTGGCCTGATAGGACAGAAAATTAGGTAGGCAGAGTAGACAGAACAGAATGCTGGGAGAAAGAAGCTAAGTCAGGCAGTCACCATGATTCTCCCACTACAGACAGACGCAGGTTAAGATCTTTCCTGGTAAGCCAGCTGGTGGTGCTACACAGAATATTAAAAAATGGGTTAGATCAATATGTAAGAGCTAGCCAATAAGAGGCTAGAACTAATGGGCCAAGCAGTGTTTAAAAGAATACCGTTTCTGTGTAATTATTTCAGGTGTAAAGCTAGCCAGGTGGCTGGACGCAGCACGCCATTCCTCTACTAAACCGCACAGAGCCAAACAGGCATCTGGAAGTAAAATGTTGTCAGGTGGAACCTGACCCTATATGGGATGCAAGCTAGGATGGAACTGAAGAACTTGTCTACCTTTGTTCTTCTCAAGGCCAACCGGCCATGTGATCCAGCCACAGGGTCCAGTGACAACCTGCATCTCTGTGTTCACAAAACAGTGGCCAATGCAGTAGGTTGTTGCTTTGTCCCCACCCCCTTCGCTTCCACATTTCCACGACTTGGGACCATGGCAGCTACTAAACATTTAGCCCTTGAGTCCTGTCTCTGATAAGGCTTCACGGGGACTTTCGCTGAGGCTGGGGAATCAAAGCTTGTCTGGGACATGTTCAATCAGAGATGACAGTGAAATATATACAATGAGCATGCGTTAAGTCAAAGAGGTGGAGCTCAGGAGAGTGGGTTTCTCGTCCGCAATGATGACATCTGGGCTGTCACAACCCAAACCATCTCCATCCCTTGTCAAGGTCACCTTCAGTTGAAGACCATGAGAAGAAGATGTCCTCGGGGAGAGCCCTTGAGCTTGAGCATAGGAAGACTGGAAATGTGTTTGCATCTTGTGCTCCAGGATGCTCTAATGCCAGGAGACGGGTTTAAAAAAAAAAAAAAAAGAAAAAGAAAAAGCCAGTAAATGGTCAGAGAGCAACTGGGCAGCATAAGCAAGGAAAACATGAGGCTTCTGAAGCCAGATGAAAATCTGTGCTTCCAAGGGAATGGGATCAACCAAGTGCTGGGTGCTGCTAACAGGGTAAGGAGAATGAGGAACTGGGATGTACCGCCAGCTTGGAGATAAACAGCCAAAAAGAAACAGAGGGAGAGATGATAGCAGGAGGTAAAAAGGACTCTGGGTTTTGGATGTCAAGAGAAGCAGAGGGTGGGGTAGCGGGCTGAAGGAAAATGGAGGGTAACAAGCCTTCCGAAAAAGATAAGCACTATTATAATACATTTGTATGCTAATGGGAATGATTCTGTAGAAAAGGAAAGATCGTTGACGCAGAAGAGGAAAATTAGAGCGCGTAATTGAGAAGGAAGAGGGAGGATGGAATCTAAGATGAAAATACCCGATTGGCCTTGGGAGAGGACAGTTATTCTACAAAAAAAAAAAAAAAAAAAGGAGGGAATGAGGAGGGGCATGGAAGAGGGAATGGGGCTGTGG